CTCGTTGAGGCGGCAGAGGAAGCGGAGAGGGACGCCGCGGATATACTCGTTGGGATGCTGGAGATTGTTGCGGAGGTTCTGGCAGATGAGGATCATCTCCGGAAGGATCTTGCCTCGGGAATCGGTCTTGTCAATGATCTCCAGGTAGAGAAGGAGAAGCTTCTGGATGGTGTGGTCCTCAGAGGGGAGGACATAGCGGATGATGGTGATGAACAGCTGGGGAATCGTCTCGCCATTAAGGAGGAGCATTATCGCCTTCTTCAGAGCCTCGATCTTCACTTCGACATCGTTTCCTTCCAAAGCCTCTTTGATTTCGTTCGCCAGCGCCGGCGTCCCCTTGTCGAAGTACACCAGTAGGCTACAGGACTTCTCCATTGTTAATCTCAGATCTGAGAAATCTGAATCCGATCTCCCAATTCTCCCCTCAGATCTGCCCAAATTTCACCCTCGCGCCACAATCTGGTGACAATTTCTGCACAATTCAAGTTGTTTCTTTCTTTTCTAACAGCTACTCTCTCCTGTTACTCGACTGTGAGTTGCTTGCGAAAGTTCTTCGATGGCGTCCAGAGGAAGAAATGGAAATGGAAATGGAAATGGAAATCTCGTCTGAGCGTTTGTTGGAGTTCACAATAAAAGTGTTTATGCTTTGGTTTATAAGGACGGGCACGGGCCGGGTCCTTTTAAAGGTCAAACAAACAAGGTCATTTCAATATCTTTTTACATAACACTCAAAAGGCCTCATGTGTTTTGTTAAAAGATCATTTCACTTTATTAAATAGTCATTCTATGTAACTTGCCTTTTCAAGAAACAAATATTTGCCTTGTGCCGAAGGTGGAGCAACCTACGACTACAAACGACTTTCGTCTTATCAGTCTATGTAACTTCATATATAAGATTATATCGAATTTACTAGCTTGTAGGTTGAAGGGTTTGTTGTCGAGACTTGTATCCCCTCTTCAGGTGGCTTTTGTGGCGGGTCGCCTTTATTTGTGAGAATTCCATCATCACTCAGGAAGTTCTTCATTGTTTGAAAAAGAGGAAAGGCAAAAGTGGTCTTATGTTTATTAAGATCGATATGGAGAAATCTTATGACAGAATTGGATGGGACTTCCTTCAAAACGTTCTTAGGTGTTTTGGTTTTAGCCAGATGTAGATGAACTGGATTATGCAATGTGTTCGATCTCTAGTTTTCTCTACTCTCGTCAATGGGGTGCCGAGAGGGAGAGTAGGAGTGGATCTCTCAAAGGGATCCAAATATCCAAGGGAGGGACTGTTCTCACTCACTCACTTTTCGCGGATGATTTGGTTGTTTTTAGTAGTGCGGGTGTCAAAACAGCTAAGGCCATCAACCAATGCCTGGAGACCCATTGCAATTAGTCCGGCCATAAGGTAAATGTGGGAAAATCCTCGATATATCTCAATAAGAACACTACGAGGAGTAGAGCCATGGAGGTGTTCGGGATGTCGGGCTACAACTGAGTAAAGGAAAACGTAGTGCATCTAGGGCTGCCTCTTTTCAGATCTAGAAATTCTATCAAGGATTGGTACCATCTAGTGGAGAGAGCTCAGAATAGGGTGGCTGGTTGGAAGAACTTCTCTCAAAAAGCGGTCACGTTTGTTCTTCTTAAGACAGTAGCCCAGGCAATATCAACTTATAGTATGATGACTAGTGGACGTTTGGTTTATAGATTCAGAATCATAATTTAGAATTATTTTTTATTTATGTGTGTTTTTTTATAAAAAAAAATACTTATAACGAATTACGAACCATAATTCAAATCATGGTACAAATTTACTAACCAAACGCAATGTTAAGAGAGTAGCCCAGGCAATACCAACATATAGTATGATGACTAAACTTTCTTCTTAAGACAGTGGCCCTAAAGCAATTTGTTCGAAGCTTGATGGGATATTCCGTGATGCTTGGTGGGGGAAAGAGGGAAGGCAAATTTACTAGAAAGATTGGGATTCAGTGTGCTTGCCCAAGACTAGTGGGGGCCTTGGCTTGAGAAGATGTAAAGACATGAACCGAGCTTTTCTCACCAAATGTGGGTGGGAAATGCTTGCTCAGTCCCCTTCGCTGTGGGTGAAAGTTGTTGCGGAAAAGTATCTAAGAGGGCGGAATTTTCTTGGAGCTGAAGCTAAACCATCCGATTCTAGTTTCTGGAAGAACCCAGTCCATACCCGGGATTTGATTGAAAAGGGTGCTTGTAAGGTAACAGGAAACGGTAGATCTATTAATTTTTGGAAAGACCCTCGGGTCCCTTTCCTTAACGGGTTTAAAACAGTTCCAAAGTATGAGAAAGCGCTCATATACTACGGAGTCTCTGATTTGCTTTTGCATTCTGGGGCGTGGAATGAAAACAGAGTGAGGGACTTCTTCTCTGTTGAGGAAGCTGTAGCTGTGCTTTCTATCTCCCTATCTCGCCAAGGGTTGCCTAATCAGTGGATTTGGACACCTACCAAAAATAGTGAATTCACGGTGAAATCTACTTACTCCCGATTATCTTCAATGGTGCTCCATGAAGGATTTCTTGAAGCTAGCCTTGTTTGGAGACGCAAATCTTCCTGAATCTCAGGAGTTCCTATTTTTTCTCTTCTTGCGCTTTGGAGGCTATTTGGAAGGCGAGGAATGCCAAGGTTTTCCAAGACTTGGAGGCCAACCCGCAGAAGACTTTTTTCCACGCAGAAATGCAGTACCAGGAATATACTCAGACCTTTGCTCCCAGAGACTCCACCCCTGAAGCTTCTAAAAGGTGGAATGCTCTCCTACCGGGATGGATCAAAGTCAATGTCGACTGCTCAGTGGGTCAACAGGATTCGGTGATAGCTGCTGTAGCTAGAGACTCATCCGATAATATCGTCATGACAGCTTCTGCTCGGGTCAACAATCCAATTCCCCTTGTAGCAGAAATGGAGGCCATCCGCTTTGCTCTTAAGGTTTCAATCTCAAATGGTTTCACAGCAATTACTATTGAAAGTGATTCCGCTATGGCTATTACTAGTTTCTCTGCCTCGGCCACTAACTGTCCTTGGGTGATCCGTAACATCAAGTTGGACTGCGACTTTCTGAAGCAGAGTTTCGAGATCACAGATTTTTCTTAGGATTATTAGCAGATCTTGCATCTTTGCGAGCCACAACTTGGCCAAGTGGAGCAAAACGAACCTTATCTTCGGCGTCATTAAAAAGGACCTTATCCCCACTGAAGTGTTCAAGGATTCTGAGGAGTGGTTCCCCAATTAAGGGCCTCAGTTCCTCCTTGTGCTTCTAGTCTTGTTTTAGGTGTCTTTTTGCTCTTTCGTTAGTTCCTTAGTTGGCTTTTGTGTAGTTCTTGTTTCTTGTTGCGTGTAGTTCTGGTTAGACTTTTATTGTTTTGTTTCTTGCTCTGCTGGCTTGAGGTTGTTTTCGTGCTAGTCTGGTCAGCCTGTTTGTTTGTCCTCTTTTTCCTTGTTGTTTTGGCGTTCGTTGGTTGAATGGAATCATCTTTTAGCAACAAAAAAAAAAAAAACACTATTGAGGGTCGTGAAGGACGTCTTTATTAAGTCTTTTCTTCTAATCCATATAAGGTTCAAGTCTCAATTCCCACAAAAGGTTGCTCGGCTCCTTTTAGGGAAATTAAGTAGGCCCCTAGAGGCTACACTATAGGTGGGGGGAATGAAAACTGAGTGAATGATCGGTGAGAGACTTATTCAGACTCTTTTCACATACTCAGTGGTACTTGGAATTGCCACTATATTCAAAGTGGCTAGACAACATAAAATTCACCACCAGATTCCTTTTTTTGATTAGTAATAGTGTGTGTGGGGTGAGAACAGTACTTTTTCCCATCTATAGGGCAAGTTAATTATTAGATTTAAATCTAACAGTGAAAAGACATAGAAGCGCCAAACTAAAATAACGTATGATTAACACCAATGATAATATTCATTCTTAAAAAAATAAAGAGAGAGAGAGAGAGAGAGAGAGAGAGAGAGAATAAAAGTGGCAAGTTCGTTGAGAGCTGGTAGTCGCAAGCTTTGTTGCAATCTTATGATGCCTCCCTAGACATCCTTGTTCTGTCACTGGCCTCTTGCCATAAATCAATCTGTCTTCAGCGCCGACAATGTCTTCTCTGTTGCGGCCGCGGGTAGGTTGCGGCTAGACTTACTCACGAGTGGGCAGTCTCAAGAATGTTGAAGATTCAAATCCGTAAAGTTGCCCATGATGCACCGACAACCCTGCAAATGGGATCTACAATCCATGTGAACAGAAAACGGAAGTCATGAGCTGATTTCACAACAAATTGAAACTTTCTTACGATCGTTGTCTACGTCTGTATTATGAATATGACCAACTTCAAGCATCTTAAATCTGAAGATGAAGTAAAGTAGAAGATATTCTAGAGTCAAACCAATCTTTCACTGAATACGTAACGTAGATATTTAAATAGGAATTTTAGTCCATACCACAAACATAGATATTTATTTGAATGATCCAAAGCAAAGAAATTGTGTTCGCCAAGCCAACGTTAAGGTTCTAAAAAAAAAAATTCACCACGTTCCACCAACTCTACAGGAAACATATTAGGGACCTAAGCCGAGTTGGCAAATTGCTTACTAAAATTTATTTTAAGAAGTGAACGTCTTTCTTAATAGCGGGGTCCGAAAAAGAATAGAAAATGTAAATTCACTATATTTTTTATTAGGAATAGGACCTATCATGAGAAAAAAAAATTTCGTTGGTCGATAGCTCTAAAAAGACAGATTGCTTATCCCAAAATGAATTCCTGCGTCCATCATCTCTTCCAAATTGATGTTCCAATATCGTCTTGTCATTTCTCCCCACATGTCTTCTCTTTTTTTTCTTTGAAAAAAAAGAGATGAGGTACCTGAAAATAGAAATAAATAATTGTTCCCACGGAACCTTCTCTTCTAACGTAGATTGGCCGCTAATACACGATCTAAGCCGGTCATTTTTTTATTTATTTTTTCAATTTTCTGTAATAGATAGTACCAGATAAATTCAACAATCACCAACATAATGCATAGAAAAAAGTTAAAAAGGTACTAGTAACCAATCAAATTGAAAATGATCCATAATGACCACAGAGATCTCGAAAATCTGGAGTGCAAGGCCAGTTGACAGTTGAACGACTAAACAAAATATATTACACTATGAAAAGAACACATCTATGCAGGTTTCATAGCTATGACGACGTTGTAGGGTTAGATCCTGATGGCGCAGACCCTGAGGCAGCAGATGCTGGGGGGGTAGATACTGACAGTGCTGATCCTGATAGCGTCGAACCTGGAGCAGCTGAATGTTGAAACTGCTGGTTCAATAGAGGGCGTTGAGGTGGAGACATTGCAGAATGATATGGTGGAGGGTACTGCTGATAAGGTGGGGGTGGAGGAGGCATATACCCATACGGGGGATAGTATTTCTGATGATATTGGCCATGCGGGGGAGGCATAGGTTGATAAGTAAAATGCTGCGCATGTTGCTGCTTCTCTTGCCCAGGTTTGTTCTCACCTGACCCTGTCGACCCACTAGAAGCACCCTCTTGCGAATGAGTAAGGGCACCCATTCTTTGAGGATCCATTGAAGGATAAAAGTTTCTCTCCGGCTGAGGTGGGGGAGGAATGTTATAGTAGTGCAGTGGTGCAGCTTGGTCATTAGCTTGATTTTGCTGTTGAGATATGACAGCTCGAGGCAGCAACCCACCGTGAGCAGCTGCTGCCTGCTGTCTCGCTTCGTCAGAAGCGTCTGTCTCTGGTTTTGGTGCTTGAGGCCTTCCCCACATAAGCTTCAACCTCAAACCCTTTATTACTAGTTTATTAGAGAGCTCTTCTGCAGCCTTCTCTGCTCCTTCTCTAGTAGTGTAGGTTACAAAGGCACACGCTCGCTGTAGCACCATCCTAACAGATTCAATCTCGCCATGAGCATAGAAGTTATCTCTTAAATCCTGCTCGGTGATTCTCGCATCAAGCCCGCCCACATAAAGGGTTTTGATGCTCTCATCCTCGGGCGGCTCCAAAGAGGGCATCTCTCCAGCCTTGTTGAGCAGCTTCAGAGCCACAGGATCATTGACTCTGTACACAGTGAAGATGAATTACATGTAAACATCATAATCATTGGCACTGAAGATAATTAAGATGAAATCATGTCATAACATAATTCTAAATCCCTGCATATTGTAGATGCAGGTATAAAGATGTCTTGTGAAGCTATAATGTGCTTCGATGGGTGAATTTAACACAAGAGATTGAGATACAGAGAAAGGAGTTCAGCAGGAAGTCTTCCTTCAGAATACAGATCTTGAACTATATAATAAAAACAAAACATGTCACAAACAGGAGAATGACGACTTTACATCTATTGAGATCCACCTGACATGGCTCCATTTAATCCTTTTCTTTTGTAAGAGACAAATAATGCAATGGCGGAGCCAAAATTTTTTCCAGTGGAGGCATAATTAAAAATCTCTATTACTAACTGGGCATATGGTTTTATATTGAGGGCAGTTATGATTTTCTAAATTGAGAGGGGCACAATTAAAATATTTGCGGGTAATAAAAAGAATTACAAAATCTCAATGGGAACACATGAACCCACTGAGGTGAGCGTGGCTCCACCACAAAATACATAAATGGAAACAATAAAGCTGCAGAAGAGACAGAAAGAAAGGCCTCCTTGGAAAAGAGCATACCCCGCCACTAAATACATAAATGGAAATAATAAAGTTGCTGAAGAGACAGAAAGAAAGGCCCTCCTTGGAAAAGAGCATACCTCGACTAGAAAACGTCAACCGGAAGAACAAAACTAAACAGAACAGACCAACTGGGATACACAAAGTACAGCCCCAAGACACTGGGCTTAGCTCATTTGATGGTGGACAAGAAACAAGACATTGGCAAAAAATAAAAAATAAAAATAAAACAGATAGCCAGAGCTGTGCAAAACTCAGCCCCTTTATGCCAGTTTATGTTTATGGATAACTTTTTATGGGTCACTATGGGAATGGGGGTTCAGTTGGCAGAAAGGGATTGGGAGGAAGTGGGTATAACTAATAAAAATACTTCTGAAGCCTACAACCCTCTTGATAATTCAAAGTAGTGAATGCAGTGAATATTACCAAATAATCACCAAGACAGAAAATTTGGTGTAGTGTCTGTCAACCCATTGAATCGAGGTCAAATACACTTGTGAAATCAAAGACTAACACAACACGGTGCAAAAAGAAGCAAACAAAGCGACTATAAGATAAGCCATAAAGTGAAAAAACATCTTTCATCCACATTAAAAAAGAAAAAAATACTCATATGTGATCCCTTCTTCTTGGGAATGAGATACTGCCTTAAAAAATGTTTGATATCAAACATAGCAATGATGTCATTCCAACATCTAAAGCAGGAATAGCAAACGTCCACCATAAACAAACATGTGTGATTTTGCAAACATAAGTTACCAAACGAATGAGCATATGGCATGTAATCCCAGTACAATTAAGAAAATGATTGGTACTGACACACACACACACACACACACACACACACACACACACACACACAAACTCAAAACCAGAAAAATTATAAACCATCAAGCAGAGAATCAGGGAGGGAACAACATCAGAAAAATATCCATATCAATAGTGGAGTGGAGAAATTATTCATTGTCAACATACCCATAGTAGCGATCTTTTATATTTTGCTGTGACAACTCCCCGGTAATTGGCATCTCGTGCCTGTAAGGACACTCAGCACCTCTCGTGCATTCACCCCGAATATAGAAACTACAGACATGGGCTCTGTTCCTTTTGTAATATGGTGTTGTTCTTTGCAGCTTCAGAATGGTGTCATTTGGGCGCGCCTTTCCATATGAAGATTCATAATCTATACCAGCTCTGGCCTGCAATTAAGCAACACACCATATTGAGGGAAGGAAAAAAAAAACTTAAATGAATACATCCCTCTATAGGAGGGTAACAGATAACAAAAAGAAATAGTTCCATCTCATCAAAACTAAAATTATCCAAGAAACAGCATGAGAATGAACTAGCTAAATAATCTCCTCAGACAACCAAATCGACGCAATCCATAGAAAATCCATGTTAAAGACTAGAATCCGTTACTTGGAACCCTATTAATGTATTTCTTCTTGTAGCTAGTGCTCCTCTTTACTATAAGTTAACAACTAAAACAAAAATAAACATACCTTGCGGTCATGCTCTTCAGCAAAATACTCCCTGTTCACATCGCTCTTGGGAATAGCGCCATTCAAATTGATGGACAGAGCAGTATCTCGGACTTGGACTGGCAACCCATATTCCAAATCCAGAAGGCAAACTTGACAGACATTTTTCAACTTACTGCATGTCTGGCAAATCTCACTTTTCTTGAATCTTGCATCGCGGCCGGGCCTCCATCTAAAAACTGTGAATGGTCGCGTACAAATCTTGCATTCCTTGTCATAATCTGCTTTTGTCTGTATTCCACACACAAATGTACACGAATAACATTTTTGCAACTAAACACCTCATCTCATGAAACTGAAAAAGGATTACATCACAGCCATTTTTTTTAAGAAAATAAATTAACAAAAAAGAAAAATCAATTCACTGAAGCACCAAGCAAACACATATCTTTTTGGGTGTTCTCGTATTTGGAAAAGATCCAAAAATAATAATAATAATTATAGTAATCCTCCATGTTCGTGCAATGATTTATCACAATAAAAGTAGATATTCAATTTGTGCAAAATTCAATTCGACCAATTACATAATACCCTGCCCTAGTTCTATCTAAAAATCAAAAGAGGTTAAAAATTCAACTGTGGAAATTAAGAGGTGGCATGAAAATCAAAAGAAAAATAAACCTCGTAACTAATAAAATAATAGATGGGTTTTAGGAGAAATAAAATTACCATGCGAACATAAGGATTGTCTCCGAGGCAAGACTCGCAGATTATGGGGAAATCGGAGCGTTCCCAACCATCAGCTTCTGCATCTCTAAGCAATCTGTGTGCCATGGCAGATTAAATCCCTGAAGAAATAAAATTCGAAACCCACCATTAGAATGGAAACAAATAAGTAAATTGATCTTCAAAAAAGAAAAGAAAAGTGTGGATCGATGAAACCCTACCTGCGGTGTCGGCGAGGGTTGTGTGGATCGACGATCGAAATTCGGACGGAGAGGCTCCAAGTTTCAGCGATTTGGGTGGCCGACGGAGACGATGAGATATGGAGGTGGGAAAAAGGGTTTTGCGAGCGGGGGCTCCACAGAGAAACGATGGGTGAATGCTTCGAGCGTTTTTATTCCACTTTTGAGTTTAAAGGCCTGAGTTTTTAATTATTTTTCTGTTAGAGTTAAAAATTCTCACATAAAATTATATCACAATTTAAATTAAAAACTTAGATTGTTGAATTGAATAAGGTCAAATTCTTTTTTAGAATTCATAAGTTCATATTTAAAAATATTTTTGGGGTCATTTATGGTTTTCTAAGTATTTTTAATAAGTTTGTAATAATAGATTAAAGACAAATTAAATAAAATAGTAGAAATAATATTTTACGTCTTAAAAATCAACTTTAAAGTACCACAAAATATTTTCTAAAATATTGAGATGTTATTTTAGTATTATTAAAAATAAAAGATATTAACAATATGTTTCAATATAATAATGAGTTTGAAATGATTTTATTTTATTAAATAAATATTTTTTGGGTTAATTTCACCTTTGACCTATGAATTATGTAATTTGTCCTGTTTTAACTCTCAAACTTTGAAAGCTGCAAATCACATTCTTAGGTCTCGTTCATTTCACCGATTTGGGTTTTCAGTTTTAGGTTTATACAGTAAAAAGCTCTCAGAAAATGTCACATTTAACTTTTTCTGCTACAGTAAAAAGTTCTCAGAAAATATCACGTCTCAACTCGAATTGAAAATTCGAATCCGTGAAGTGAACGAGACTTATGTAACTTATCTCATTTTGACTCTTTTAATTTTGAAAGGTTGCAATCACACCATGAACTATGCAATTTGCCTCATTGTGGCACTCAAAATTTGAAATGTTGTAAATCACATCCTTAAACTATGCAACTTGTTCCATTTTGTGTCAATTTGTCGCTCTCTAATCTTTTAAAATATATGAGATAAGTTTACTCAAAAGTAATAATTCAAGAGATATATTGACTTAAAATCAACAATTTGCAAGGTAGTTATAAATGGTGCCATATTGTTAGTTTAAGGGTCTGTTTAGTTCGTTGATTCGAGTTTTTAATTCAAATTAAAATGTGACTTTATGTTAGAGCCTTTTACTGTAATAAAAAAGTTAAATATAACTGTTTCTGAAAACTTTTTATTGTAATAAAACTCGAATCGGTAAAATTAACGGAACTTAAAATTTTACTCACTGAGCTTTATAGCCATGGAGTCCGATTCCCCCGGATTTGCAACCATAATGCACCACCATGCCAATCATTGCGTCCCTTGTTATATATCTCCTCAAGAAAAAAAGTGTGTTTCATGGAATCCGTGAATTGGTCAATCTGTCCAATTCAATTGGTTCAAAGATTTTAGATGGATTTACAGATTGAGCATTTCTTAATACATGAATTTACTTATATATATGTATTGTTTTATTGAAGTTAATTTGTCATTACTAATTAGTTGGAATTCGTTGAGCTAATTTATGATGTGATATGTTCATTTGGATTGGATGATCCGAATACAATAAAATGACTGTGTTTAAAGTTGATTTTGTTTTTATTTTTCATATTTTTTAAGAAAGAAAAAATAAAAATAAGAAAAAAATAGTGTTTAACACAATTAAAAATAAAAAATTGAAATAAAAATAATTTTTTACTTCACTATAAAATATGTGAGGAATAAAAAATAATGTTTTAAACCTGACCCGATCCGCACGCGTTGCTCAACGCCAAATTAACCCGTCCCAGCAATTAATCTTCCAGATCTCCATTTCCATTTCTTCTCCTTCCTCCGCCTCCTCCTCTAGATGCGGCTTTGAAGAACTCTCACATACAAATCACAGTCGACGGTATAGTTGTTAGAAAAGAAACAATTGGAATTGTGCAGATCTGAGAGGAGAATTGGGAGATCGGATTCAGATTTCTCAGATCTGAGATTAACAATGGAGAAGTCTTGTAGCCTACTGGTGTACTTCGACAAGGGGACGCCGGCGCTGGCGAACGAAATCAAAGAGGCTTTGGAAGGAAACGATGTCGAAGTGAAGATCGAGGCTCTGAAGAAGGCGATAATGCTCCTCCTTAATGGCGAGACGATTCCCCAGCTGTTCATCACCATCATCCGCTATGTTCTCCCCTCTGAGGACCACACCATCCAGAAACTTCTCCTTCTCTACCTGGAGATCATTGACAAGACCGATTCCCGAGGCAAAATCCTTCCGGAGATGATCCTCATCTGCCAGAACCTCCGCAACAATCTCCAGCATCCCAACGAGTATATCCGCGGCGTCACTCTCCGCTTCCTCTGCCGCCTCAACGAGGCCGAGATCGTCGAGCCTCTCATCCCTTCCATTCTCTCCAATTTGGAGCATCGCCATCCCTTCGTCCGCCGCAATGCCGTCCTCGCCGTCATGTCCGTCTTCCGCCTCCCCCACGGCGACCAATTGCTCGTCGATGCGCCGGAGATCGTCGAAAAGTTCCTCTCCACCGAGCAAGACCCTTCCAGTAAGCGCAATGCCTTTCTCATGCTCTTTAATTGCGCCCAGGACCGGGCTCTCAATTATCTCTTTACCAATGTTGATAGAATCAATGACTGGGGCGAGCAGCTCCAGATGGTTGTTTTGGAATTGATTAGGAAGGTCTGTAGGGTTAATAAGTCTGAGAAGGGCAAGTATATTAAGATTATTATCTCTTTGTTGAATTCCCCTTCAACTGCCGTGATTTATGAATGTGCCACCACCCTCGTCTCCCTCTCCTCCGCCCCCACCGCCGTTCGGGCTGCTGCCTCCACTTACTGCCAGCTTCTGCTCTCCCAGAGCGATAACAATGTCAAGCTCATTGTCCTCGACCGCCTTAATGAGCTCAAGGCCTCCCATAGGGAGATCATGGTTGAGCTTGTCATGGATGTCCTCAGGGCCCTTTCCACTCCTAATCTCGACATTAGGAGGAAGACCCTGGATATCGTACTCGATTTGATAACACACAGGAATGTCGATGAGGTTGTTCTTTTGTTGAAGAAGGAGGTTGTCAAGACTCAAAGCGGCGAGCATGAGAAGAATGGAGAGTATAGGCAGATGCTGGTGCAGGCCATACACACCTGCGCCATCAAGTTCCCTGAGGTTGCCAGCACTGTTGTGCATCTTTTGATGGATTTCTTGGGTGACACCAATGTCGCTTCCGCCATCGATGTGGCTGTTTTTGTGCGTGAGATTATTGAGACCAATCCCAAGCTGCGTGTTTCTATTATAACGAGGCTGCTCGATACTTTTTACCAGATTCGCGCCTCGAGGGTGTGCGCTTGTGCTCTTTGGATTATCGGTGAGTACTGCCTCTCGCTGTCCGAAGTTGAGAGTGGAATTGCAACCATTAAGCAGTGTCTTGGGGACCTCCCGTTTTTCACGGCCACATCAGAGGAAGGGGAGGGCCAAGATACTCAACAAAAGGCCTCCCAGCCTGTGAGCTCCGCCACTGTATCTTCTAGGAGGCCGGTGGTTCTCGCAGATGGAACCTATGCCACCCAGAGTGCTGTATTAGAAACTGCCATGTCCCCTCCCACACTTGTACAAGGATCCTTGGCTTCTACAGGAAACTTGAGATCTCTTATTCTTTCGGGTGACTTTTTCCTTGGGGCTGTTGTGGCTTGCTCTTTGACGAAGCTCGTCTTGAGATTGGAAGAGGTCCAGCCTTCTAAAACTGAAGTTAACAAAACAACAACACAGGCTCTGTTGATTATGGTCTCTATGCTGCAGCTGGGTCAGTCATGGGTTCTTCCGCAACCAATAGATAATGACTCTCATGATAGGATTGTACTCTGTATCAGATTACTATGTAATACAGGTGATGTTGTGAGAAAGATATGGCTGCAGTCCTGCAGAGAAAGCTTTGTGAAAATGCTTGCGGATAAACAACGCCGGGAAACAGAGGAATTAAAAGCAAAGGCCCAGGTATCTAATGCACAACCAGATGACCTCATCGATTTCTACCATTTGAAGAGCAGGAAGGTAATGCACACTGGCTCATTTTGTCTCTTACTCGTTATAAAATTAGGTAACGTGTTTGATTTCTTTTGATGTTTCCATTATTCCACAGTAATTGTGGTAATATTTATATTTTGCCATGAATTTGTACTCCCTTGGCTCTGATATATTTTCCTTGCACACTTATGCCTATGGTAATACTGCTGATTTCTAGTTTCTTGCCATTTGACGTTATCTTTGTCCTTTGAAGGGCCAAGTGAGGTTGATTAGAGCCTCTCTTCTTTTTATTTTTATTTTTTAAACTACTTACCTCCCTGCCTCTGACTCTTTCAAATTGGTGTGTGCGTGAATCTGTGTAACACATAACATATATTACTTATATGTTTTACCAAGCGATCCATTTGGTTAACAAATAACATATATAGATGGTGTGTGCCGTGCGGGTACCATATTACATGTATAAATGTCATGTTTTACCAAGCTATCATGAGTTTGGCTTGTGTTTTCTGTGATCTGTCCATTTGCTAATAACTGCCAAATGAGAAATGTTCTTCTACTGATGCTTTTCCAAGGTTCTGAATATTTTTCTTTTGTGTTTGACAAGAGTTTTGAGTTGGCTTATTCTGTCAGCCTGTCTTCCTCTTCGCTATATACTACCATAGTGTTAGTTTAGTGTGATTTTCTTATACTTGCGTATGTTTCAGGGTATGAGCCAGCTTGAGTTGGAGGATGAGGTCCAAGATGATCTCAAACGTGCTACAGGAGAGTTCACCAAAGACGGAGATGATGCAAATAAACTTAATCGCATTCTTCAGCTCACAGGATTCAGCGATCCTGTTTATGCCGAAGCATATGTTACAGTTCATCATTATGATATTGTACTTGATGTCACTGTTATCAATCGTACCAAGGAGACTCTCCAGAATTTGTGCTTGGAGTTGGCGACGATGGGTGATCTCAAACTCGTGGAGCGTCCACAGAACTATACTCTAGCTCCTGAATCAAGCAAACAGATAAAAGCAAATATTAAGGTGTCTTCAACTGAAACGGGGGTCATATTTGGCAATATTGTATACGAGACTTCTTCAAATGTGCATGATAGGATGGTAATTGTCCTCAATGACATCCATATTGATATAATGGATTACATCTCTCCTGCATCTTGCGCTGATGTGGCATTTAGAACAATGTGGGCTGAATTCGAGTGGGAGAATAAGGTACATCAATATTTTTCTCATTTACCTTGTTGCCATTATGTTTATATTTACTGTATTCATTATTAAGTTATTGTTTTTATCATCATTAAAATGATTATATAAACATTTCTCTAGTGAAATACTTTAGGCTGACTCTGAAGCATGCGTTTCTCTTTGGTGCTAATAATTGTGTGACAGTTTATTTCTATAACTTGTGATGTTCATGTCTATTTTTGATGATAGCAGGACTTGCTCTTCAAAACACGAAGCTTCTATTTCTTTCTTTCTTTCTTTCTTTCTTTTTTTTTTTTTGGCTGAAAATAGAAGATAAAAAACCTTTTGTCTTTTTTTCTTGTGTTTTCATATTTGACAACCTAGTGATTGTGATTGCGACTGTGTTGGGGTATTATATTCACGGCGATACCTTAGTCCTGATACTATTATATGGTATATTCGTTTTTGGTCTTTCATAGTGTCATTATTAAATTACTTTTTATCCCGTTGTACTTTTCTTTCATTAATAATATTCTCTTGTTTCTTATAAAATAATAATAATAATAATAATAATAATAATAATAATAATGATGATGATGATAATGACGGGTCATTGGAATGAGTTGGTCAGGTGTATCATTCATATTTGGCAAACTAATGGCGTTGCCTAGAACTGAGTTATCTTGTCTTAGGCATAATGGGGTTCGCTGACTACGAATCACTTCCTCTCTTACCTAAGCTTTTAGTGTACTTAGGGTACCGCTTGATTATCTTTGCAATTGTTTAGGCTCGAGTTTTGAATTCGAATTTTGCTACAATAAAAAACTCTCAGAAACAGTCACATCTAATTTTTTTGCTACAGTAAAAAGCTCTCACATAAAGTTACATCTCAACTCAAATTAAAAACTCAAATCAACGAACTAAACAGACTCTTATTTATTTATGTTGGTAAACTTGGGTATTTTTTGGTGAAGTGTGTTTCCTTCTTGTTAACTGTGCACATGCATCTAACATGAATATTTAGTTGTTGGACCTATGTTTGTTTCCCATTCAGTAGGTAATCTGGAAATATTTTATAGTCCCGTTCATTTCACCGATTCGAGCTTTGCTGCAGTAAAAAGGTCTCAGAAACAGTCACATCTAACTTTTTTACTACAGTCTAAAGTTCTCACATAAAGTCACATCTCAACTCGAATTAGTGAACTAAACATGCCATATATTCTTTTGTTATTTGTTCCCTGCTGCTCTGTCTGTAGTCTGTAACCCATGCTTCCCTGTATGTATTTGGCTCTACTTACACAATTCTTTTCTTTCATCCAGGTCGCTGTAAATACCATTATTCAAGACGAGAAGGAATTCTTGGACCACATTATAAAGTCAACAAATATGAAGTGTTTGACTCCTCCGTAAGTTCTAGTACCTGCCATCACTCCTTTTATATTTTCCTTTGGACAAATCACTAACTTTTGTCTCATCTTTTCTGCCTTCGTCCCTTGCTAAATGGGAATTAGGTCTGCACTGGAAGGCGAGTGTGGATTCCTTGCGGCTAACTTGTATGCGAAGAGCGTTTTTGGTGAGGATGCATTGGTGAATTTAAGTATCGAGAAACAAACAGATGGTAAGCTGAGTGGATACATCAGGATAAGAAGTAAAACTCAAGGTATTGCTCTGAGTCTTGGGGACAAGATCACCTTGAAGCAGAAGGGCGCCGCATAATCGGACTCGTTGCCTTAGTTTTGCAGCTTCTTTTTTCCTGGTTCAAAATCATTAGTCACTATTTTGCCAACATGATCCACATAACTTTCCATCTCGCAGTTATATTCTACTGAGACTCAGTTTTATTATCAATTCTTCCCCTACTTACTTTGAATTTCTTACAGATTCAAATAGACGAGCCTATCAATGAGAAAATAATTGTATCTTGGATCTCTGGCTGTTAAATTTTCACAGCAAGTTTGTAGCAATACTTTTTGAGCATAAATATATTTTCAAAGTTTTGCCTGCATTTATTATATATCGTTTCTTTCTGACAAATGGTTCGTACATATTGATTTCTCTCTGGAAAATAGAAAATAAAAGACATAAGCCTCGTTCACTTTGCGGATTCGAGTTTTTAATTCGAGTTGAGATGTGACATTTTATAAGAGCTTTTTACTGTAGAAACTTAAAACTGAAAACTCGAATCGGTGAAATGAACGATGTCAAAATTTGATTTTGGTACTTTGTGTTACATCTAACTATGCGTTCGGTACTTTGTATTTTTTAATAATATGAAGTGGGTATCTCGACGTTTTAGAAATTCTTTTTTGGTACCTTCAGGCTTTTTTTGAGACATAAAATGTTAAAATGGCCCTCATCATTAATTAATTAAAAACTAAAATAATTACTAAAAAAAAAAAGGACCAATCTTTCCTTCATATGTGTTTTAACCCTTTCGAGTTACTGAAATTATTTGTATTTCATTAGGATGCCGATGAAAAAATTTTGGCAGGAGCTTTGGTAGGTTATGGCAAAACAATCTAGTACAAAACAATGCCTTAAAACTACTTTTTGCGGTGTTGTTCACGAAAAGGGACTTATTTTCTTTGCTTACAGGCTTATAAATAACTAATTTCCTTGTGCTTTGGACTATCTTTAGTTTGTAGTAGTCCAAAGACATATATTTGCTTAGTGGTTGACGCTTCCAACAGATGTTTGTTTTGCAAGTGAGGTCTGGTTTGAAGATTGGTAGTCCTTTTTTTTTTTTTTTTTTTTTTTTTTTTGGTTGAGCAATTGAAGATTGGTAGTCTTGTTTTTACTTGTTTTGGTGAGTTTGGTAAGAAGAAAGTAAATAGAGTAACGAAGAAGAAACAACAAAAGAGAGAGATTTCTTTAGTTTCAACTAGAATCTTTATCTAAGTTCAGTATAAAAGGCTCAGATGGTAGTTGAATCAACCACTGGGAATTCAAAGTAGGGACATTTTTAGCAATGGCTGAGTTGGGAAACATCGAGAAAATTGAAGCTGCCAGAGATTTACTCAAGGCTAGCCTAGAGAAATCTAAAGAAGTAGCTTCTTCATTAGACGAAACAGGTTCAAGATTGCAGGAGATCAACGAAAGATTACCATCTTTGGAAGCCGAAGTTGGATCAATTCTTATGCACAAGAGCACATATGTCGCTGTCAGGAACGATATTGACTGTGTTATTGGCCCTGCTGCGGCAGTTCTGAGAGTCTACAATGCTGTTTGTGAGCTTGACAGGACACTATCCTTGTCTGACCCGCACACTGATCTCTTCACTTACTTATCTGTCATGAAAAGACTTGAAGAAGGACTAAGATTTCTTGCCAGCAACTGTGGGTTAGCCATTCAGTGGTTGGAAGATATTCTTGAACCCCTGGAAAGCATCTCTCCATTTGCCAATGCGAATTACCTCTCAAAATTGAACAAGTCTTTGATCATCTTAGAGGAGTTACATGACACGGAGAGACGTGCCCGTCTTGACGGAGGGTCATTTTCAGCTGCATTAGACAAGCTTGAAAATGAGTTTAGAAAGCTATTAACAGAGAACACTGATCTGATTCCTATTGAGCCCCCATTATCATTTGTTGGTGAACAAGCCATGCTGCTTTTGCCAGCTTCAGTGATTAAAAAGCTTCAAATCATAATTGAGCGGTTAAAGGCTAATGATCGACTTGGAAAGTGCATACCATTGTTTATTGAAGTTCGAGCCGCAAATGCTAGGAGGAGGTTAAAAGCTCTTGATTTGGATTATCTTGATATGCCCTCATCAGAGATCGATGATATGCAGACAATAGAGACTTACATTGAGCGGTGGGGCAAACACTTGGAGATGGCTGTGAAACATATCTTTGAGGGCGAGTATGAGCTCTGTACATTAGTCTTTGAGAAGATTGAATCAGATGTTAGGATGGTTTGTTTTGCAAATATTGCTATGGAGTCTGGAATTGCTTCTTTCCTCCGATTTGGAAAGGAAATTACCAATATAAGAAAAGATCCCATGAAGCTCCTGAAGCTGTTGGGCATCTTTAAAGTTCTGAACAATCTGAGATCGGACTTCAACCGGCTTTTTGGAAATGCAGCTTGCTCAGAAATTCAAGCCTTGACAAGGGATCTTATCAAGAAAGTTGTAGATGGTGCGTGTGACATCTTCTGGGAACTCCCCGTTCAAGTGGGATTGCAGAGGCGACTTTCTCCTCCTTCAAATGGTAGTGTCCCGAGACTCGTGATATTCATGACTGACTATTGTAATCAACTTCTTGGTGATGACTACAGGCCGACCTTGATCGAGGTTCTGACAATCCATCAAAGATGGAAACAAGAGACTTATGAGGGGGAACTTCTTTCAAACCAGTTCTACAACATAATGAAGGAAATCGGGATAAATTTGGATGCGTGGTCATTGGTTTATGCAGACAAATCGCTCTCCTACCTTTTCATGATGAATAACCACTGCCACTTTTGCAACTTGAAAGGAACAAAGCTTGGAGATATAATGGGAGATTCTTGGTTATCAGCACATGAGCAATACAAGGACTACTATGCAGCCCTCTACTTGAAGGAGAGCTGGGAAAAGATTTTGCCCCTTTTAAGCCGACCAAAAGGTTTGATTTCGATTAATCCAGTTGTTAGAGAAGCTGATCAGGATTTCGACAAGAAAAGGCTCAAGGCTTTCAACGAGGCTTTCGATGAAAGGTACGCGAAACACTCGAACTGGGTAATCTCGGACGAAAGCTTGAGGCAAAATGTCTGCCAGCTCTTGGTGCAGGCAGTTGTTCCGGTTTACAGGAGCTACGTACAAAGTTACAGGGATTCGGTTGAACAAGATGCTAGCGCTGGTAAGTATGTCAAACACTCTCCAAAGAGTTTGGAGAGTAAGCTGAGTTGTCTGTTTCAGCCAAAGCTAAGCAAGTATTGGGGCAACAAAAATGCGCGGTTAATCGGTAAAATTAAGAATGTTTTTATCAATCAGTTCCGATTAACTCTAACTGCTATGTGACACTCAATGCTCTTTTTCTCTGGTTCTGAAAAAAGGCAAATATAGTTAATTTATTGTACTGTTAATCTCACACTTGTGTGGTATTATTGTTACCCTTCTTCCTCAACAATATAAAGAGAAGATTACAGGGAAAATTAGGGCTTATTATTCTTGAATGTAAGTACACGGGTGTTTTCTGATTGTCAATACTCCATTAAAATACCGTGCAGGATCATGTTATCTATGTAATTTCCCACATGCCTATGTTATTTATAGCATTTAAAGGTGTTCAAGTCCTTGCTACTCAGAAATTTTCACATGCTTATGTGAAATCCACAATAACGTTACTCATTAAGGTATAGTAAGAAACATTAGTGAAGTGCGATGCCCCTCCGGTTTTGGCCTTCTTGGCCATGACTCGAAATTTTCATACCCTCCCTCATTTTTTGCGACCTATGTAGAAAATAAAATAATTCGCACATTTAACAATATGAAACACTAGCAGGTGAAAAATATTATTAAAAACTCTTGTTCGGCTTTCTTGGCCCATGGCTCCAAATTTTTGTAAAATTTTTGTGCGTTTGGAATTCGTTCTAAAATGATTTTATTTTCTGTATGAAAATGGAAATGAAAATGTTTTCAATCTCATGCAAGAATCATTTCTGAAAATGCGTTTAGTAGTTTTATTCAGAGATTGTTTTCAATACAAAAAAAAAAAAAACTGAAACTGCATTTAGTTTTACATTTTTGAAAACATGTAATAATATTTGAAATGATATATTAAATAATTAATAAACTCCTCAATCAATACACTAATAATTAATATAATATATACATTTTCAGTTGTCGTAACATACGTAAATAGTAAATAATTAGGATACCAATTACCACACATAGTACTTACGCACAGCTCTGAGAGAGGTAAAGGAAAATCACTAACACCGACAACACACAAAACCCAAATTCCGAAATCCCACCAACTAAAAAAAAAAAAAAAACAAAACAAAACAAAGCCAATAGAACATAGCAACACAAAGTAAAATTCTTTAATCTTTTTTCCTCAAAATATCTAGAGTTATCAAAAGAAAACCGAAAATCAAACCCACAAAAAAAAAATAAAAACAAGTGAAGCTTTTTCCATGGCAGATAACCTGGAAGAAGAACAAGAAAGAACACCTTCATCGTACACATTATTCCTAAGAGTCATGAGCAAAAGGCGAACATGGGTATGCATATTTGTCCTAGTATACGCAATAATCCTAACCTCCTCTTGAAATTTTCTCAAATCCGTACTTTCTTGGTACAATCTACAATTGAAATTGTCGTCGTCAACTTTCGGTTGGCCCGCTCTTTATGCGTCCGTGCTTCTCATAGCAGTGTTCGAGGTCGTGTCGATGGTGGCGGCTCTGGCGGGGATGGTGGGGGCTTTGGCAGTGATGGTGTTGGCGACACTGGTGACGTGGATCACCATTGTCGTGCTCTTGGAGCAGGATTGAGATGGGGGAAAATGAAACTGGGAAAGGAAAACGATTATGAATCGTTTTCAAATTCTCGGTATTTTAGGGAATAATTAGAAAACGTTTTCAATTTTACTTTTCATACGATGCGGTGCTAAACGCGTATCTCAGAGTATTTTCATTTTTTGGTCCTTGAAAAACGTTTTTAAAAAGGATTCCAAACAGGCACTTTGTTTTTGCAACCTATGTCAAAAACACACTAATGTTGCATGTTACATAAGAAGCAAATGTGATATGAAAAAAACACCAACACAGGGAAAAATACACTAAATAGCATTTTTCACCTATCTTTTTGAAGTAAATAGCATATTGTTTAAATGTTGATAAATTATAACATTTCTCTTATTTATTTTAAAATAAATTATGCATTTTCAATTTTACCAACTAGGGTTTCTTTGTTTCTCTGCTTCTCTTAGACCCCAAACTCTCTCTCTGCCGCCTCTCTCTTCTTTCTTTCTATGCTTCTTCGACCAGATCGCAGTGTCGACGACAAGATGGCAGCTATGGTGAGAAGCGAAACACCGAGCACTGTCGAGATCTCTAAAACCCACACATCGATCTCGGTGACTCACTCTCTCTACCGTCGTGATCTTCGGAACTCTCACCTTCGATATCGGCTATTCTAATCTCGACATGACAGCGACAACAGCGAGACACGAAACACCGAGCAACGTCGATATCTCCGGAACCCACGCATCCGATCTCGGAGACTTCGATCTGCGACTCTCTCTCTCTCTCTCTGTTGTCGTGATCTTTAGAACTCGCACCTCCGATCTCAGCTATTCTGATCTCATGACTCTTTCTTCAGTAAAATTAGGGCTGGTAATTTCGAACACGACACGATGAAACAACACGAAAACGACACGAGATAAATGGGTTTAGACCGCACGATTATTAATTGGGTCGTTAACGGGCTGACACGAATAATATAAAAATAAATGGGCTAGATTCGTGTCAGTTCGTTTAACACGCTTAACCCGTTTAGTTATACGTGCCGTTATCGGGCCAACCCGTTTATTAAGCCGATATATATATATATATAGACAAAACCCTACTTCTAACTCAGTCTCTGGAGGCTTCTCTTTCTCTCATTCTCTCACCCACCGTTTCAGGTATTTCTCATTTCTTTAGCAAATAAGATTGACAAGGTATTTTTCTATTCTCAATTTTTCTTTAGCAAAAGAGACGAGACAGAATAAGTAATCCTGGTAAGATTGACAAGGTATTTTTCTGTTCTCAATTTTTTTACTCTGCTACTCTTGTTCTATGTTGCACAAGGTTGTCAAGTTTTGTACTTGCCGATGTGGCAACTGCATTTTTTTTAGTGTGATAGAGTTTTATGAAGAGATAATATTGTTCATCGACATTTCAATGCTTCCTTAGGTTCTTTTATTAATAAGCATATTGCCTCATGAGAAACTAAATTTTATCTGTTCACTTGAATTTATTGGTCTAAAGATACTGAAAGGAAAATGAGAAAAAAAAGAACTCTAGTCTTCCTATACAGTTAATCATTGATATGAATAGTAGTCATTGTAGACATTTTCTTATATTTATTTTATGTTTTATACACTTAAATATTCAAATGTTTGGTTTTGTTTTCAAACTTATTTAAATGTACTTGGTTATGTTTTCAAACTTTTTTAGATGTTTGGTAATTGGTATGTTTTAAAACATATATACTTGATAATCTATATATATATATATATATGTGTGTGTGTGTGTGTATGTTTGATATTTAGATATTTTAATGTGTGTTGGCTATTATGTATGATTTTAACTATAAGTGATGTTAAGTAGTCAATTAATATAGTTTTGAATACAATATAAAATTCCACTACTTTTGCTAGTTGGGTAATAAACGGGTAATAAACGTGTTTTTTTCGTGTCGCCCCGTCACGGCACGTTTAATAATCGTGTTCGCGTGTCGTGTCGTGTTAACTGTGTTATTAGCATTTCGTGTTCGTGTTTAGATTTCTGACACATTTATTAATCGTATCATGTTTATTATAATCGTATCGTGCCATAATCGTACCGACCTAAACACGACACGTAAACACGAATTACTAGCCCTATGTAAAATTACTAGATCGTTGTCCTCTGTTGCAGTCTCGCCAATTTGAGTATTTTATTTATATGCAAATCTTCTTCGATGAGTTTTTATAATCTGAGTCTGTGATTACATTTTTCGGTACTTGCGAGAGTATTGATATGTTTAGATTGAATTATTACTTACAGTTGCTAAATGGCATTGGAAATTGTCCTAAACTTTCAAAAATGGTCTATTCATCTCCATTAATAAAAATGTTCCTTCTATTACATGTGGCACTAAATTAAACTAAAAAAACTTAATTTAAGTTAAAATTTTTAGGGTTCGTTTAATATGAAGATTTAAATAAAGTGATTCTAATAATAAATTTAAAATTATAATCATGATTCATGATTTTAAGTTCAAATCATAATTTTAAAATCATAATTCAGAATCAAGGAGTTTGAATCACCTTGAATTAAAAAAGATAATTTTAGAATCATAATTTGAGCTAATTTAAAATATCACATTAAATTCTGAATCATTATTTAAAATTATTTATCAAACACTAATTCTGAATCATAATTCAAAATCATTATAAATAAATATTGATTCTGAACCAAAATCTAAAATTATAATTCTGGTCATCTACCTGACCCACTCTTATTGTCAAAGAAATTAATAATAAAAACCCACGTGCAAAATTCCTTGTTAACATCAAAGAGTAATATGCAACTCTAAAGGCGTTCGGTTCGCTAATTTAAGTTTTTAATTTGAGTTGAGATGTGATATTGTGTGAGAATTTTTTATTATAATAAAAAAATTAGATGTGATTGTTTTTGAGAGCTTTTTACTATAATAAAACTCGAATTCTAAACTCGAATCAACAAAAAAACAGTGCCTAAGAACTCAACCAAGAAAGAAAAAGAATCTGCAACTCAACAACCAAAAAAGCTGCAACTCAAAGCAGGTAGAAAAGGGAGAGAGAAGATGGCCAAGTCTGTGACTCAACAAATAGCTTAACGAAGAAAATTCTTTTCATTCAAGAAAAAAAAAAATTGCTACTCAACAACAAAAGAAGCTGCAACTCAATAAGCGCAAATAAAAATAGAAGCTCAATCGGATTTTCAACCCAAAAAAAAAAATTTTGCAGCACAAAAAGAAACCGTTTCCAACATATCCTCAGCAACCAATCAGTCCAAAAACACACAGAAAGTAAACTCAGCTCAACAAATTTAAAAATGAAACACAAAACCCAGAAATGCAGAGCCAAAAAAAAAAAAAGAAAAAGTGAAGAAATTTGGGCAACGAAGGGAGATTTGGGGATGCTCGCGGTTAAGGGGGCGAATCAACGGGGTGCGACGGCGGATCCACGAGGAGGCTCGCTGGCGGTGGTGCGACGAGGCTAGGTGGTGGTGGCGCGACGGAGCTCGCTGACGGTGGCGCGACGGCGGATCCGCGATGGGAAATTCTTC